TTTTGCAGTTTTCTTTTTAACATGGGAACATTATTTATTCCCATATAACATTATTCATTATTGGTGTGTGCATTATTACACAGAACCTGCTTCAGGAGCTCAAGATGCTCAAGCATCGAGTTGACGAGCTGAAACAGGAGAAGATGCAGTACGAGCAGAAGCTCAAGGTGACACAGGTACTGCAACACAAATGTGATTGTGAAGGCATAAATTGTCCCAAAGTTGTTGTTCACAGACAATATTCCAATGTAGCTCATGTTGTGATCAACTGTGGTCGATGTAGCAATGTTTTTGCTCTCTATAATGTCCTTTTAATACTCCTGTAAACATGTACTATGGCTTGTTATTAATGCAAATAATTTTAATTAATTAATTTGTACATTTTTGGCTAAATAATAATGAAGTGTTTCTACTCTCTCAGGCAGAGATCATGAGTTTACAGCAGCTGTTGAGCTGTAAGAACTCTGAGATAGAGAGTCTACAGGCTCAACTGCTCTCCAGAGCTCCAGTGTCTGTAGACAGCGCAGAAAGAGGTACTGCTTTCTCTCTCAAATCCATCTACAGGCCTGCCCTGATGCAGTCAATACTAATGTTAAAGGCAATTTAGCTCTTTGTATTTTTCACAGCTGTGTCTAATTAGTTGTGCATGTTAATGCATGTTAATTAGTGATAGGCCGATATTTCTCCATTTGAGATAATTTGTGCCACAGCCTTATCACCCTGCAGCCCAAGACTGGTTGCCCACTGAAGCTAAGCAGGGTTGAGTCTGATCAGTACCTGGATGGGAGACCTCCTGCGAAAACTAGGTTGCTGTTGGAAGAGGTGTTAGTGAGGCCAGCAGGGGTTGCTCACCCTGTGGTCTGTGTGGGTCCTAATGCCCCAGTATAGTGACGGGGACACTATACTGTAAAAAAGCACCGACTTTCAGATGAGACGTTAAACCAAGGTCCTGACTCTCTGTGGTCATTAAAAATCCCATGGCACTTCTCGTAATGAGTAGGGGTGTAACCCCAGTGTCCTGGCCAAATTGCCGCCACTGGCCTTTATCAATCATGGCCTCCTAATAATCCCCTCCCACTTGATTGGCTCTATGACTCTCTCTCCTCTCCCCCTGTAGCTGGTGTGTGGTGAGCGCACTGGCGCCGTTGTACTGCCGTCGCATCTGGTGGTGGTTGAGGAGACACCCCCCCCACATGATCGTAAAGTGCGTTGGGTGTACAGCAATACACAATAAAGCACTATATAAATGCATCATTCATTCATTCATAACTGTGTGCACTTGTCTAAGTAGCAAAATTATTAGTTCTGCTGTTTTTAAATCAGTTGTTTTTCCGACTAATGACAGACAGTGAGAGAGTTCAGGGAATGCATGCATTCCATATGCACTCAGTTTTGCATGCAGTTTTTGCATCCGGATGTTGTTAGTTACATACAGAACTATGTATGAATAGCAGTATGGGTAGTATGTCCAAAAATGCAGTATTCATAAAATAGTAGGTAAAACATACCTAAGCGACTTACTGCTTCAGCCACGGTTCTGAAAAGCATGGCTGATGTTGCAGACTTTATAGAAGATACTTTATTAATGGCCGAGAAGTAAGTTCTTCATCAAATATAGTGCATACATTTACAGCACACGATTTCGGGAGCACATTGTCATTATTCTTGTAATTCCCTTTTGTGCTGTTATAGTGGCACTGAAATTAAACACTTAGCCTTTAAATTGTATCTGCATTACACTGGCCATTAGCTCCCTTGCTCTTTAGATTTTGGCATTAGCCTTTGAAAAATACATATCGGTCAATCACTAATGTTGACAGCAGTTATTAATAATTGCCATATGTGTATGCTGTGTAGTGTGGTAGCTAACAATGGTTCTTTTTCCTTACTACCATTCACTCACCATTAGAGGAGATATACAGAAGGAGACTCAACACCAAACGTAAGCTTGTTTTTATTACACAACTTCACATAAATTGCTAGAAAGATTAATGCAGAATTCATCTGCATACATAAAACCCATTTCTGCATTTGATTGTGTGAGTTCTCACTTCTTTCATTGTTTTATGTGAACCCATAAACTCATGCCTGTGTAAGTGTCTTCTGAACTGGTTACTCTAAAATGAAGTCATAACCATCTATTGCTCCACTTGGCTTTCCTTGGAAAAGTAAGATCAGTGTAATTCCTGTTTTCCATGTCTGTATACTTTAATTATGTTCAGGGTAGTAGATCTTAAACATGTGTGAGGTTTATTCAATTCTAGACTGTAGTTACTAGACACTGTAAACAATCTTGCAGATCTTGAATATGTATTTTGTGCACGGCTGTCCCATAAATTGTTTATTTATTTATGTATTTTTTATTTGTCTGTTAACAGATCAGGAGCTACAAAGGCTGAAGACAGGAATGGAATCACTTATTTCAGCAAATGATGAAAAGGTATTTTTATTTTTATTTTTTTTTTACTTTAAACGTTAAAAGAAAAAATATAAATAAACACATATAATCCATAATTGTTATGGCCACTAACAGAAAAAAAAAAAAAAAAAAACATCTGGAAATTCCAAATTATAGTTCACTTGTGTCAACTCTCTCCTCACCATGTTCACAGGGTGAGCAAGAGTTATTTTGAGCACACTGGACACTTTGTTCCTCACACTGCACTGTGTTTCTGAACTTAAGTGTGTAGAATATCTGTGGAACTGAAGCCAGAACCAGTTTCCCCAGACATGTGCCAAATACTTGGACTTACAGTACCTGTGGCAGAGATTGCCTTGTGTGCCATTTGATCACATTTATTATTTGGTGTTATTTTTTTTTTCTCCCTCCAGGATCGTCGAATAGAAGAGCTCACTCTCCTCCTCAGCAAGTTCAGACAAATGAATGACATCATGACTTTAGTTCAAGGTAAATTCTTAAACAATATTTTGCCTGTTTTATCATATAGTCAATGGCCATATACCCATCGAAACCATTTTATAGAGATTTGCCAGAAAATATTTAAAATACAAAAAGGGCACTATAATCATGCATTAAAAAATGTGCATAACAGAGTTTTTTCTGACATGCTTATTTTTTATTTAAAGTCAAGTGATAACCTTTTGCTGATCAGGTAGAAATCATTAAATGAAGAGTGCATTGTTTGTTGGAAATGTCACTGAGATTAAATCAAAACTGAATGATTATTTTACTCAAATTTAATCACACTTGTTGGGAGTTATGATCAGGTGTTGAAATATTGAATTCCAGATAGCTACCCTAGTGAAAAATAAATATACTAAAATGTACTGTATTTATTGAATTTATTTATATGAAATACATTTATTTCATGCTAAGTATACTACAAATTCATATTCATATTTGTTGTACTTAATAAAAATACCCTGCAATTGTACTTTTAGTATACTAAACTGGTACACCTGATGGCCTGGTTTCACATACGGGCTTAGCTTAAAGGGATAGTTCACCCAAAATTGAAAATTAGCCCATTATTTACTCACCCTCAAGCCATCCTAGGCGTATATGACTTACTTCTTTCAGATGAATCCAATTGGAGTTATTTAAAAAATTGACTTTGATCTTCCAAGCTGTTTAATGGCAGTCAGCGGGTGTTGCAGTTCATCAGTCCAAAAGAAGTGAAATAAAGTGCATGCATCCATAATAAAAAGTGCCTCACATAGCTCCAGGGGGTAAACAAAGGCCTCCTGTCACGAATCGATGCGTTTTTGTAAGAAAAATATCCATATTCAAAATGTAATAATCACTTTAATCTAGCTAAATGTATTTTAACTAGAGTATAGCTTAATGATATGTAAATTATGCCTTCCTCAGACCCAGAAGACAAATCAGCACAGATAAGCAGTGAAGATGGAAAACAGAATGGGACTGTAAAGATGAAGACTTTAACACATAAAGCTCATGCTGAGGTGTGTGTGTGTGTAGGTTCATGAGTATGAGTGGCTGCTGACACTTACATTTCCTGAACCATTTCTGATCTTATTATTTTTTATCTTTGATAAAGTTGACCTTTAGTAGCTCATCTCCTCTGCTGTTTTCTTCAGTTTCTTCTCAGAAAGATGCAAACCCCAGGTAACAGCGTCTGTACATGCAAACCTCATTTCAAACATTAGAATATATGTCACATATAACTATTAATGTTGTTTTCCTCAGGTCCATCAGTATGGAAGACTTTGAAGGCAGCTCAGCACAAAAGGTTTGACCAAACAATCAGTCTAATTTATTTACAGTTGATAGCTGTTGATACAGAATTATTTCTTTATGGTTTGTGTGTGTGGTTTACACAGAGCTTATAAAATCCTAAAATGATGTTGACATGCCAAGATTCTTTCTAGTGATTCACTCTATTTTTTTTTAGGTTGTGGATGGGAAACTGGTAGATCATGTTCTTTCAGAGGAGGTATAGAAACAATCGTCTTAAGTGATTAATCTGTCATCATATTTACTCTTAATCTTCTAGTTGAATTAAAACTAAATACGTCAGCATAACTGAAATCATGGCCATGTTGTTATTGGCAGTGGTTTAATGCTGATGCTATAATAGGAGGCTTTTGAAGATTAAACATGTATTAAACATGTCTGCAGCAGCCAGAATTACCTACACTTCACTTCTCACCCATTTTTATAGACTCGACCAGCTGATAACAAACATCCGACACACCTAACAGTGTTGAGTCACCCAGAGAAGGGAGAGAGTGAGGCGAGTGACACATCAGACCAGAGGACACCAGAGAACAAGGATGAAGACATCAACCTTAGTATGAGATCCTTTCATAGTATCTTGTACTATGTTAAAAACTGCTGATTTTGTTTTAGCCTATCGTAATAATTTAGTATTTACCTTTAGAAGATGGAGGTAATTTTCAGAGAGCAGGTAATCTTGCATAATTTGACTATTGGCATAAAGTCTGGTCGATATTAGAGCTTGTTCTAGCCAAGAACTGAATTAGAAAAGTCCATCTGAATGACATGTGAAGTGACCAACCATTTGGACTTTTTATGCAACTTTTATCAGAGCTGGTACTATAAATCTGAAATTAGAAAGGATTTACCTTTCTAAAAAAAAAGTCTGTACAACTCAAATCATAGTCCAATTGCAGGTATATTTCTGTATATTATTAGAACAAGTATCTTGATTCCCTGCTTATTTGTGTGTTTGATCTCTCTGGGCATACCCACCCATCTCTGGTGAAATCTTTTTTTGTGACTAGGATGTATATTTCGTCCACACTATTTTGGAGTAAAACCACTTCTACCATTCCTAAAACCCTGTGCCTTTGATGGACTATAATGAAAGGGTCTCCATCAGGAACCAGATCTGTCATGTGGGCCCCACCTCTTCAGGACCCACCCTGTAACTGAAGCTTGACTGAAGGGAGGCAAATCATTGCCAGATGCCCAAACATGCTTTGACAAGCAGGGAGACTGGAGACAGGCCTATGAAAACCTGCTCTGTTAGTCTCCATTAGCACAGCTGCTTTCATTTCATTAAAGCGGTCATATGATGCGATTTCAATTTTTCCTTTCTCTTTGAAGTGTTACACGCTCTTGGTGCATAAAGAAGATCTGTAAAGTTGCAAAGACTAAAGTCTCAAGGAGAAACAATAATGTACAGTATGTGGAAAATAATGTGTTTTTTTAACTTTAAACTGCATAAACACATTTTATTACACCAAATACACAAAATAATGTTATTTTTAGCAACAACATATGACCCCTTTAATTTAAATCTCTAACAGTGAGCTAATAGTACTGAAGACCAAAAAAACACAAAACTGTGCACAGCGAGTCCTTTGTCTTTGGTAATTGCAATTTGAATTTTACACGTGTAAATCATAACTAAAACTGTGTAATAGGGCTGAATGCCACAATCAAATCTTTCCCTCCTTTTCTCCCTTTTTCACTGTTTTGGAATTTTAAAAAGTCACTTTGACTGTTTTTAAAAGAACATTCTAGTTTATTTTTAGCAATGCACCACTCCTATGGTTCCCTTTCGAAAGGGAACTCCACGCTGCGTCCTCTAGAGGGCGCTAGGGGAACGTCTTCAACGTGACCGGTGTCTGAAGCATGAATGAAAAAACGACAATGAACTTGACATTGGCAGGCGGCAGCCT